ACAGCATGTTGAGGATGTAGAAAAACTGGAACCCTCCTACACTGCAGGTGGGAATATACAATGGTGCAGCTGCTTTGGAAAACAGCCTGGCAATTCTTCAAAAGGTTAAATATAGTTACCATATGACCCAGCAATTCTACTCCCAGACACACACCCAAGAGAAATAAAAGCATATGCCTACCCAAAAACTTATACATGAATGTTTATAGCAGCATTATTCATAACTGTCAAAAGAATAAACAACCCAAACGTCCGTCAACTCATGAACGGATGAATACAATGTGGTATATACATACAACGGAATACTACCTGACAATAAAAAGAAATCAAGTACTGATACATGCTATGATATGGATGAACTTAGAAAACAGTATGCTAAGTAAAAGAACTCAGTCACAAAGGATTGTATTTTACATGATCCACTTAAATGAAATGCCCAGAACAGGCAAATCCATAGAAACAAAAAGCAAAATTAGTGTTTGCCTAGGGCTGGGGAGATGGAAGACTTGGGGAGTGATAGCTAAAGAATGTGGAACTTCCTTTTTTAGGGTAATGAAAATATTCTAAAATTGTGGTGATGGATACAGAACTCTGAATATAGTACAAGCTAAATACTGTGTACCTGAAAAGGATGAATTGTTTCGTACGTGAATTATATCTCAATGAAGCTGTTTTTTAAAAAAAGATTGGACAGAAGGAATGGGAAGGAAGAGGGAGATCAAGATAAAGCATTCCTGGCATGCAGGAGGGGGATAAACCTAGGCAAGCATAAATGTGAAAAAGAATGTAATTTTTTTTCAGGAACAAGTAGACCACAATTAGTACAGTGTTTAGTCTAAAGGAAAAGACTGATGTTCACTTGCGTTAAAGAACTAGTTATCAAAGAAAAGAGGATAATGCAGGAGAGTGTTATCAAATCAGAATTATGTTCAACAGAGACAGAGGGAAATGCCAGTAAGGTAAAGAATATGAGAAAATTGGATGCTGTGGGTTAGTAACTATCAATAATAAGACAGCAAGAACTAGAAAGGTAGGCTAGAGGCACAAGATTATGATGGAAGGTGAGGCAGGAACATTGAAGAGAAGTGTTTGGCTTACAGTCAATTGCAGAATAGAAGAATAATGGTTCTTGTTCCACACAATATCAGAATAGAAGTCTGAGAGGTCCAAGAATGTACATAGTCTGAATAATCACTTCATTAATGCAGTAAATGAGAACTAGGTATAATGTAAAGCAAAGGATCACATGCTTAAACCAAACATATTAAACAAAGCTTAACAGAGTTGAGTATCGTCTATTGACATCCCATAGATGGAAGATAATAAAATGCTGTAACCTTACACCTTAAATATATACTTCTTGCATCTTAAGACAGAAAATTTGAAGACACAACACTATAAGCACTCTACTAAGAAGAAAACAAACAGAATGATTTGTGGGGAGCAAAAAAAGATAAGAAAATTGGACGGTTGGAAAGTTGGCTTATTTTTAAAAAGGCCCTAATCCGCTAAAAATTAGTTCACTAATTTTAGGTTTCTCAATAATAGAACATCAGGTTATGAATCACTTAATCTGTGGTTACTTGTCTGGTCCATTTTTTTAATATGTGTGGCAGCATTCTGTTAGGACAGAATATTTCCAGAATAAAAAATTTTAAATAAAATGTTTTTTCATAGCACAGTCCATTTGATAAATTTAGAAGAGGAAATATGGAATTTCCGGGCTATCTAAGCCAGTTGGGTAAAACAAAAATTTAAAATAAGGAAAGACAGATTAATATTGTGAGACAGTAAACCAAAAGAACTCTGAAGAGAACACCACAGGAAACAGAAATTTGACAAATAAACAAAAAAATGAACTAGATAATTTCAGACAGTGATAAATGCTATTGCCAATGAAGGCCTCACTAAAGGCCTTATGGATGAGGATCTGAAAAAAGAATTTATATAATAACTCCACATAAAACAATGGCCATATGAATGGCAATAATATAATGTCTTGGTCCATTCAGGCTGCTATAACAAAATACTACAGACTAGGTAGCTATAAACAACACAAATTTATTTCTTATAGTTCTGGAGACTGGAAGTCTAAGATCAGGATGCCAGCATAATCAGGTTCTGGTGAGAACCTCTTCTGGGTTGCAGACTGCCAACTTCTCTATGGGTCCTCAGATGGTGGAAGGGGCAAGGAAGCTCTCTCTGGCCTCTTTTTATAAACAAATTTTTCTCATTCATAAGGACTCCACCCTCATGATCTAATCACCTCCCAAAGGCCTCATGTCCTAATACCATCACATTGGGCAACAGAATTTCAATACATGAATTTTGGGGGAGTACAAACATTCATATCATAGCACATAATTTACTCTACTTAAATATTCATCAATTAAAAAGTTTTTTTGGGGGGCCAGCCCAGTGACATAGTGGTTAAGTTCACATGCTATGCTTTGGTGGCCCAGTGTTTGCAGGTTCAGATCCCAGGCATGGACCTACACACCACTCATCAAACCATGCTGTGGCAGCATCCCGCATATAAAACAGAGGAAGACTGGCACAGATGTGAGCTCAGCAACAACCTTCTTCAAGCAAAAAGAAGACTGGCAACAGATGTTAGCTCAGGGTCAATCTTCCTCGCCAAAAAAAAAAAAAGAAGTTTTTTGAATGAGATAAAAAATTCACATAACATAAAATTCACCCTTTTAACGTGTACAATTAAGTGGAATTTAGCATATTCAGAAGTGTAAAAACATCACCACTATCTAATTCCAGAACATTTTCATCACCCAAAAGAAACTCATATCCATTAGCAGTCACTCCTCATTACTCCTTTTTCCCAGAATCAGGCAACCATTAATCTACTTTCTATCTCTATGGATTTGCCTGTTCTAATCATTTCGTATAAATGAAATCATAACATGTGACTTTTCTGCACCTGATTTCTTTCACTTAGCACACTGTTTTCAAGGTTCATCCATACTGTAGCTATCAGTACTTCATTCCTTTTTATGTCTTAATAGTCTATTGTACACATATAACACGTTCTGTTTATGCTTTCATCAGTTAGCAGACATTCGAGTTGTTTCCACCTTTTGGCTATTGAGAATAATTCCATGCGATCTCCTTTATATGTGGAATCTAAAAAAGTTGAATTCATAGAAGCAGAGAGTAGAACAGTGGTTACAGAGGCAGGGAGGTGGGGGAAACGAGAAACGCTGGAAATTTGCTAAGAGAGTAGATTTCAAGTGCTCTCACTACAAAAAAAAAAAGGTAATTATGTGAGGAGATACATGTTAATTAGCTTGACTGCAGTAATCATTTCACTATGAATATCAAAACATCATGTTGCATACCTTAAAAATAAAAATTTCTGTAAAAAAATAAACACGCTAAATGCAAAGAGAAAAAAAGAATAATGCTATGAACATTCAGGTACATGATTTTGTGTGAGGACATAGACTTTCAATTCTTGGGTGTATAACTAAGAGTAAAATTGCTGGGTCAGAAAATAACTCTACATTTTACTTTTTGAAGAACTACCAAATTGTTTTCCAAAGCAACATCAGTTATTTTTCAAGTTAGTAATTCAATGAATATACAAATTCCAAACAAGTAGAAAGAGAAAAATGAAATAAGAAATAATAGCAATTTTTTAAAGTAGCATATCTAAAACAGTATAAAAGAAAACAAAACAGTTAGATGATAGAAACAAAGGCAAAAAACAACAATCACACTAATATAAATGGATTGAATTTACTAGCTAAAAGGCAGATTATAAAACCTGACCTAAAATATCCACTTATATTGCTATTTCCAAGACATATACTTAAAGCATAAAAACAGACAGGTTTTAATTAAAGTAATGCAAAAGGAAGTAAAGGCAAATACCAACCAAAAGAAAGTTAATTGTAACTATGTTAATATAAAAAAATAGATGTCAAAAGATTATCTGAGGGATAGACTCACTATATGTAATAAAAGAATTCAAAAAGTGAATATAAATATTTATACGTATATTTTTATACATACACTAAAATTTGCATACTATTTCCGGGGATTCAGAAAATTCAAAGCCCTTTCATAAGCCCCAAGTTAAGAGCCTCTAGGCTAACAAAACACTTGTCTTATTCTTTATAGAATCCTAAAACTTGACACAAAATAACTATAAAATTTTACATTCATCACTGGCTATACCAAATAAAAAGACTAGTTATAATGCACGTTTTTAGAATTTATAATATATTCCCCATAGTAAGGTATGAAATTAAAATCTTCAAAAGCATCATATATGAGAACAAAAAAAAACAATGTTTTTAATAGACAAATGAAGTAGAAGATAAAAATGTTATTTTAAGCATGATTACACTTAATAAAAAATATATCCTTCTCTTAAAAATTATTTTGTTACTAAGTAACATGATTATTTTGAACTGAAACAACTACAAAAAGCAAGCCTTCTGTAAGTTTTTTTGTTTACATGCAAAATAAGTGAAAAGATGAAGACACTATCTCTTATACTGGCATCAAAGCAGATTTTTTATTTTTAGTAATTCATTCATTCAGGGTATAAGAGTAATGTTTTCCACACAAAAAGGATAATTTGCTACCAAGTCTTAAAGTATTATGATCAAGAATTTTATTTCACTTTATCAGCATAATCAAATATACTGTATTTACACTTGACTTGGTTATCATTTCAAACATACACATTGATACCGTCAAAAGTTATCCATGTAAGGCCAAATGGTCAATTGTACAAGGAGTTGGTGGAAAATAATCTCCTCCAACTGTAAAATACATCCAGAAATTGGTAGTGGGGAACAAAACTGAATAGTTTAACTCATATCCTGGATTTTACCCGGGAGCTATAAAAATCCACTCTCACAAAAATATACTACAATTTAAGTCGGGCATGCTATAAATATGAACTTGAATGAAAAAATATTAGTCACCTCTAATAAGAATTTTCCATGTACCTGTCAAGAAGGCTGTTCTCTTACCTACAGTTTGGAAAACTTCATTCATCAAAGCTTCATTCACTGCTGAAGAGCTGACATTTCCAATATGAGACCAACTTTGACATATTGCTTGCAGCAGAAGCGTCTGTGCTCTTGTAGCTTGAATTGTGAGATTTGGAAGTTCAAATATACCCTCAGTTACAGAAATCTGAGATCTTTTGGTCCTGCATAACATAACAGAAAGAATAATAATAGAGTAAACAGCATTTACAAACAACAACATATAAAATGAATTAGTTTGCAAGGGGAGAAATATTTTAAAATAAAATTACCTCAAGTAGATATGCAGTTCTACTAATTTTAAATAAGTTTCACCATTTCAGAATAGTGAATAATGAAATATACAATAATAAATTACAATAATACAAAATACAGAACACAAAAAATAATAAAAAATAAAGACAAACTAGAATAATGTCCATGCATACACAATTATATACATATATTCTGCTCAAGCTATTACACTTTTCCAATCAAGTCAATCACCAAAAATAACAATGAAAATAATACTAGTTAACGCTTAAAGAGAAATCACTAGTAGATCTGCATTGTTCTAAATGTCTTGTATTTATTAACTCACTGAATCCTGGCATAATACTCTTTGAGTGAGGTATTATCATTACCTTCATTTTTCAGATAGGGAAACTAATACACAAAGAGAGAAATTAACATATCAAATATCATACAAGTAACAAGTAAGAAACAAAAAATCAGAAATTTAAGTCCAGGCAATCTGATCCAGAATCCTCTATCCTACACTTCCTCTCTCATGAGTACTTATGAAGTATTTACATTACACTCAGGTTCCTACTTGACAGTAACACAGAACAATGATTTTTACAATCTCTGCCCTGGAAGATCTAATTCATTGACTCCTTATTCATCTGGTTCTGTCTCTCAAAGAGGTGCCTTACCTAAATTTTCCAAAAAGCAAAGCTTCAAAGAAAGGAAACATTTAAATGTCTGTGAGCAACAAGTTGACAGTAAAGATTAATGAAATATGCAAGATAATGTGGACAAAGAAAAACAAGAGACAGGAAAAAGAAATATCAGGATGCTACTATAGTAGATTCAGTCACCTCGCTCTTACCCCAACCTGTAAACCTCCAACTTTTACCGTTTTTCCAACCATATCCACACAGAGAGTATTGGACATCTCTTATATATCACTTCAAAAGCCTTTCAACCCCACCTCTTATTCCAGCCACTGCCATGGAGGCCAATTCAATGCAGATTTTCACTAGCATTGCCTAAGCCACTGTACACCATGAGACTCTAATTGGAACTATTTTGTGTTCATGTATGCAAAATCAGGACATATAGGAATAAATGCTTCTCTCGTTTTGCTTTCCTGGCTGACAACTTTGAGATGCATTTCGTAAGCCTCTTGGAAAGGTCCCAGGAGATCGAGGATAAGGAAGGGAAAAAAGACCGGAATAATTGGAAAAAGCCTTAACGAGCTTTGGGACAATATCAAGCAACCTCAAACATGTGTAACCGAAGTTCCAGAAGAGAGGAGTGAAAAAGTGGAACTGAGAAATATTTAAGGAAATAATGGCCAAAATTTTTCTCAATTTGAAGAAAACTATAAACTCAAAGATCTAAGAAGTTCAACAAACCCCAAACAGAAGAAACTTAAAACCATACCAAAGGCACAATCAAATTGCTGAAAACCAGTGTTAAAGAGAAAAATTCTTAAAAGCAGACAGACGGTAGAAAAATACACTCCATAGAAAGAAACACAGATGAAAGCAGACTTCTCATCAGAAATCATGCACAATAGAAAACAACAGAATAAGGTTATTGAAATGATGAAGCAAACAAGAAAAACTGTCAATGTAGAATTCAAAATTTAGAAAAAATATCTTTCAAAACTGTAGGCAAAATAAAGGCTTTTCCAGACTAAAAGCTGGGAATTTCTCACCAGCATACATGCACTACAAAAAATGTTAAAGAAAATTATTCAAGCTAAATAAATGTGATATCAGATAGAAGTCTTTGTGAATCTACACAAAGAAATGTCAAGAGTGCCTGGAATGGGTATGAGTGCATTTTATAAAAAACAAAAGGAGACATTCTTTCTCAGTATCTCCAAAGACATTTAAAGAGTAACTGATTAAGGCAAAAAATAATACACTTTGGGGCTCAAAACACATGTAAAAGTAAAACAGATAACAATAGAGTAAAGAACAGAAGGGAAGAAAGGAGAAGGATACTACTAGGAAATTCTTACACAATGTGTGAAGTGGCATAATATTATTTGAAGGTAACTGTGATAACGTAAAAGATGTAAACTCTAAACTTTAGAACTAAAGCCATAAAACAAAAAGGTAGAGCTAATAAAGGGAACAGCGGAGACAGAATGGAATCATAAGAAATATTCAATCCAAAAGAAGTTAGGAAAAGAAAAAAAGGGAACAAAGAACAGATGGGACAATTAGAAAACAAATAGGAAGATGAAAGTCTTAAGCTCAAAAATATAAATAATTACATTAAATGTCAAAAGTCTAAGAATATTGGTTAAAGGCAGAGATTATTAGATTGCATTAAAAAACCAAGACCCAACTATATTCTATCAATAAGAAACCCACTTTAAACATAAAGAAAATAGGTTAAAAATAAGGGATGGAAAAAAATATCCCTTGTAAATCTAATCAAAAAAGAGTATATGTTAATATCAGACAAAGTAGACTTTAGAACAAGGAATTTTACCAGGGATAAACAGAGACGTTGCATTATGATAAAAGGATTAGTTAGGTTTCTATGCACTACAGGCCTTCAAAATATATAAATCAAAATAACACATAACTGAAAATAGAAACATAAAGAAAAAGTGAGTAATGATAAAAAAGACAATACAATCAACTTGGCCTAATTGACATTTATAGCACACCCCTCCCATCAGCAGCAAAATACACATTTATCAAGGCAGACTACATTCTGGGTCACAAAAACAAGTCTCAATAAAATGAAAAGGACTGAAATCATACAGACTATATGTTCTGATCACAATGTAATTAAACTACAAACTAATAAAAGGTATTTGTTAAATCATCAAATATTTGTTAATTAAAGAAAACATAACTCAAAATACAGTCAGAAACAGTAGATAAAATTCAGATAGTCACACAAAATGAAATTTTTGAAAAATTATAGTTATTTTACAAAAGGATATTAATATATAAATAATGTGATACACTCTATTAACAAAATGAGAAATACAAATCACATGATCAGCTCAATAGACACAGAGAAAGCATTTGCCAAGATCCAACAGCCGTTTATGACAAAAACTCCCAATGAAATGGATATAGAAGGAAAGTACCTCAACATAATAAAGGCCATGTGACAAACCCACAGCCAACATCATACTCAACAGTGAAAAACTGAAAGCCATCCTTCTGAGAACAGGAACAAGACAAGGGTACACTCTTGCCACTCCTATTCAACATAGCACTGGAGGTTTTGGCCACAGCAGTTAGGCAAGAAAAGGAAATAAAAGGTATCCAAATTAGAAAGGAAGAAATGAAACTCTCACTGCTTGCAGGTGACATGATTCAATATACAGAAAACCCTAAAGAATCTATCAGAAAACTATTAGTTTACTTACAAAAATCAGTTGCATTTCTATACTCTAATAACGAACAAGCAGAAAGAGAACTTAAGATAGAATCTCATCTATAATTGCAACAAACAAAAGAAAATATCGAGGAATAAATTTAACCAAGGAGGTGAAAGACCCATATACTGAAAACCATAAGACATTATTGAAAGAAATTGAAGATGACATAAAGAAACGGAAAGATATTCCATGCACATGGATTGGAAGAATAAACATATTTTAAAAGTCCATATTACCTACAGCAATCTACAGATTCAACGCAATCCCAATCATAATCCCAATCACATTCTTCACAGAAATAGAACAAAGAATCCTAAAATTTATATGGAACAACAAAAGACCCCAAATAGCCAAAGCAATCCTGAGAAAAAAGGACAAAGCTGGAGACATCACAATCCCTGACTTCAAAATATACTACAAAGCTATAGTAATCAAAACAGCATGGTACTGGTACAAAAACAGACACACAGATCAATGGAAGAGAATTCAAAGCCCAGAAATAAAACCACATATCTGTGGACAGCTAATCTTCCACAAAGGAGCTAACAATATAATATGGAGAAAGGAAAGTCTCTTCAATAAACGGTCCTGGGAAAACTGGACAGCCACATGCAAAAGAATGAAAGTAGATCACTTACACCATACACAAAATTTAACTCAAAAGGGATTAAAGACTTGAAGGTAAGACCTGAAACCATAACATTCCTAGAAGAAAACACAGGCAGTACACTCTTTGACATTGGTCTTAGTAGCATCTTTTCGAATACCATGTCCTTTCAGGCATGGGAAACAAAAGAAAAAGTAAACAAACGGGACTATGTCAGATGAAAGAGCTTCTGCAAGGCAAAGGAAACCATGAACAAAACAAAAAGACAACACACCAACCGGGAGAAAATATTTGCAAATCATATATCCGATAAGGAGTTAATCTCCAAAATATGTGAAGAACTCAGACACCTCAACAACATAAAAAGCAAACAACCTGATCAAAAAATGGACAGAGGATATGAACAGACATTTTTCCAAAGAAGATACACAGATGACCAATGGGCACATGAAAAGATGTTCAAGATCACTAATCATTAGGGAAATGCAAATCAAAACTACAATGAGATATCACCTTACACCTCTTAGAATGGCTATTATCACCAAGACAAAATATTAAAAATGTTGGAAAGGATATAGAGAAAAGGGAACCCTCATACACTGCTGGTGGGAATGTAAACTGGTATAGCCACTGTGTAAAGAGTATGGAGATTTCTCACAAAATTAAAAATAGAAATACCATATGATTCAGCTATACAACTACTGGGTATTATTTATCCAAAGAACTTGAAATCAACAATTCAAAGAGACTTATGCACCCCTATGTTCACTGCAGCATTATTCACAATAGCCAAGACATGGAAGCAACCTAAGTGCCCATCAACTGATGAAAAGATAAAGAAGATGTGGTATATATATACATATACAATGGAATACTACTCAACCATAAAAATAGACAAAATCATCCCATTTGCAACAACATGGATAGACCTTGAG